AGACAAACTTTTTAACATTTTGTTATCAATGCCATTGTGATCAGATGCCGAAGAAGTTTTCAGTTTATTTAGTAAACAAAAAATTCCTGCCTCACTAATGATTACTTCAGCCATAGATACGTTGATGAGATTGACAAGGGAGGGTGATGATGTGGCGTCTTCATGTGTAAATACGGATGAAAATGCGTAATTCAATAGATCCGCACACTCGCAGTGGTGAACCATATCGCCGTGCTCATCACCAAGTGATATGTCAGGGTAGTTCTTCGGGTTTATTACACGCCAGAAACGCTGAGGATTGTTAGTGAGCATGGAATACAAGTCATGAGCGAAGGAATGTCGTTTCGATGATTTTAAGAGTGATTGGTATTGCTTATCGCAGACCTTGTAACGGTGCCAGGAATCGGAGAGGTGGTCCTTATCCTCTGAACGATATAAACGCTTTTTCTTATTGTTGAGGCGTCGAAGCTTTATGGTAAAACAGGATGTCGTCATAGTGCAGGCTACTTTTGTTAGAGGGACGAATCGATTGATTGAACTCAGAAGAATGAACTGCTGGGCGAGGTAGTATTCCATAACCGCAGCGGTGGGTACAAGGTTAGAGCATCCACTTTCAATGCGGGAGGTACCGCGTTTAATTCTCAGTGCCGACCGGACCACACTGGTATTTCCTAATGGGTAAGGAAGTACACCAACCTGGAGTTCGTTGATTCATGGGTCCAAAAGTTAGCCGCTTAAGCTGCGTAAAAGCGTTTAGGAAAATTATAACTGCGCTAAGAAGGAGACCCGAGAAGAAAGTGGACAGGACAATCGCAGTTCGTTTAGGTGTTTCGTTTTTTAGCGCAGATATGGTTTTTCTAGATGTCTTGCCAACTAACCCCCATTATACGCTTCTCGAGCGCAAAAGCGTCTGGGCGCACCTTGACTCTGCACAGCTTTGGTGAAACAGTTGAGCATCCGCCGCTGCTACAGGAGGTAGATAATTGCTGCCGCCAGGCGCATGCTTGTTAAATAGGTACCAGCGGGCCTCTAGCGAGGTACTTGGCAGAACGAAGTTCACAGTCGCTTGCGAGGGCACCCATTCTGTGTGATATATATATACACACACATATATTCCCAGCCAATTGGAGGTCACTGCATCGTGCGCCGCACACATCGCGGCAGCAGAACACGCACCAGGTGAACGTGTTCGGAAAGTGTGGCAGAACGTGAAGAAGAGGATGAGTGCTCCGGAATGATTATGATCCCCGCATTTTGGAACTCTACGTGGAGTCTTGCTGAGCTTAAGCAGCTCCATCATGAAAACGAAGCGAAATGATTTTTGACGTACAGTTTTCATCACTCTGAGCGCGACATCACAGTTTTAGTATAGAAACCTCCACGTGCAATCGCTCGAGAGAAGCACTTATTGCGACGAATCTAGTCATTAACGATAACGTTGGCTCTGTTCTAGGCGACCGAGTCAAAATTACACCAATATCACTGAAACTTAATACCTAGAAAACGAAAGTAAGTGTGTTACTCAACTCGAAATTCACCCTTATTGTGCTTTTATCGTGCTTCGCTCGTCCCGCGTTCCCAGTTCAGTGAATGAATACCAGTTACCAACTAGCCCGTCTTTCGATCGCTCTAGTGTGAAGCGTCTTTCTTGGATAAGGTAACGTCAGAAAAACTGCACACGTGTCCTTCTTTTGAACGCATTGTGACGGTTATTCATATCCACAGGATGATTTTGTTCTGAATGAAGTTCCTGTTGGCGAGAGTGACATTTTGCCGTTATCTTTCTAATTCACGATACTGTATTCAGTTCTCCAAAACATAGCTAAGAAGCGCCTTTATACGGTACTATGCGTGCATACTTGCTTCAAAATTACCCGCACATTGTCTTAGTGACTGAAACTTGGCTCCGAAGCGACATATCAGATGACAGCGTCTTTCCCGCATCCTATCAGATCTTACGTAAAGACAGGGCTTCCAGAGGCGGGGGCGTGGCTGTTCTTTTGAAGAACAACATACGGGTTGTTTTGTTGCCTGATATCGACGAACTTGAATGCCTGTGCATGAAGGTTTTGTGCTGGGGGTACTCTTTTATTCTTTACGTGCTTTACAGGCCTCCTGATTCCCCATCAGAATATCTAACTAGACTTCGAGAGCACATGTCAAAATATGTGAACAGCAAAGTTTTTCTGATTGGGGACTTTAACCTTCCAGGGATTCACTGGAAACGATTGATGGTTGGTTCAGAATTTTCGAAACACACAAACATAGTGTTTGATATCATGCTTACACATAACCTAATACAAGTAGTAAACGAACCAACTCGTGTACAGGGCCCTTGTAGTTCCCTTCTGGATCTTGTATTTATTCCCCGTAATTTTGACCGATACTCTGTTACAATAGAACCCGGGATATCTGACCACCACTTAGTATGCGTTACTTTACCCCTTCTCAAGTTAAGCTCCCAAGATAGGCCGACGACACGGCGCTTCAAAGATTACTCACGAGAAAATGAAAACTCTGTACTTGACAATCTAGAAATATGTCTTGCTAATTTTGATGGTGATGACGTTTGCAACCTATGGGGCCGGTTCAAAGACATGTGCCATTACTGCCTTGACAACTTTATACCGAGCAAGCGCAAAAAAATTCACAAGTGTACACCCTGGATAACACGCAAAATTGTTCACTTGAAACGCAAACTTAAAAGATTAAAAAAGAAGAAGGCACAGTCTGACGTTATCACTAAGATTAAAAATTCTTTGCAAAACGCAGTGCGCTGCTCAAAGGACCACTACTTTCAAACCCTCCTACCAAACTTCATAAAAGATGATCCTGATAAGTTTTGGCATTGCATTACTGATAAAAGGCAGCCTGTAAGGGAAATGAAAACTGATGGGGACCTCGTTTCTGACCCTGCAATTATTGCTAAATATTTTAATCATTATTTGCACAGTGTGTTTTCTCCTGCGCAAACGTATCCACTGTTAATATCAGATCCTGGCATTTATGACGCTGACTTTGTATCTTACTCTGGTGTACTATCTATGCTGTTAAATTTGAAAACCAAGTCTTCATGTGGTGCAGACCAGATTCCAAACGCCTTTTTACGCAGATATGCCGAAATACTTGCTAAGTTTCTTGTAGTAATATTTCGTACTTCTTTGTCCACTGGGAAGCTGCCGAGTGACTGGAGGATGGCTCTGATTGTTCCCGTTTTCAAAAAAAAGGTGACCGGTCCAGCTTTCAAAATTACCGTCCGATATCTTTAACGTCTCAATGCTGCAAGATCATTGAACATATTATTTCCAAACAGATTTTTGAATTTCTTAGCGAAAATGCCGTACTAACAAATTTTCAACATGGTTTTAGAAAAGCTAATTCCACGGCAACTCAATTGGTGACAATTATTCATTCGTTCGCAGCGTGTCTTGACAATAACGGCCAAATTGATGCTATATTTTTAGATTTCAAAAAAGCTTTCGACAAGGTACCACACGACAAACTAATAGCAAAACTTAAAAACATTCACATTCCGGATATTTTTGTTTCCTGGATTGCAGCCTACCTATCCAACCGCCAACAGCTTGTAAAAATTAACGAAGAAGAATCTCGGTGTCTTCCTGTCACCTCTGGGGTTCCACAAGGTAGTGTTTTGGACCATTGCTTTTTTGTTGTATATAACGATTTAGTAACTGTTGTTGACCCTAATGTTCAAATTCGATTGTTCGCTGACGACTGTGCTTTGTTTCGGGAAGTCACATGTACTAATGATCAGAACGAACTCGAGAAAAACATTGAAAACGTGCGGGAGTGGTGTGTAGAATGGGGAATGGAATTAAATTTAGAAAAAAGTGTATATCTCTGTGTAACGAGAGAGAAAAACCCTAGTGAACACGTGTATAAATTAGGATCGTCTTCTCTCACATAGGTTGACAGTTATAAGTACCTCGGCGTTACGCTAACAAACAACTTATCATGGAACATGCACATAGATAATATTTGCTCGTCTGCCTTTCGGAAATTATGCTTCCTAAGATATAAGCTCAGAAATTCCCCTCCAAACGTAAAGCTTCTTAGTTATTTCACTTTCGTTAGGCCGAAGCTGGAGTGTGCGAGTATCGTGTGGGACCCCCATACTAAACAAAACGTGAAAAAACTTGAAAGGATTCAGCGGAAGGCCATTCGGTTTGTTTATTCTAGGTTTTTGCGAACGGACTCCCCCACAGACCTAATGCTAGCTAATAATATTCCTTCCCTTCAGGATCGTAGAAAGAAGTCCCGCCTTGATTTTCTGTCTTTTTTATATAATCGCAAACTTTCCCTTGATCCAACCCCTTTTTTTTTCTCCATTAAACACAAGACCGACAAGACATCACCAACCAAATGCACTAACTCCGTACTTCGCGAGAACGGACACGTTCAAATTTTCATTTTTTCCACGCACCATTTCAGACTGGAACCAGACAATCGAATCTAGTACTTGCGATACTGAGTAACTGTGCACTGTTTTGTTTTTGTTTTGCGTGTATTGTATTTCTCTTTATATTGCGCCATGCCCTCCAGCCTGGACCGAAGTGTGGTCCGCAGTATGTATTAAATAAAATAAAAAAATAAAAAAATACAGGCCTGGCATGAAGCATGCTCGCACAATGCAGCCAAGTTCATGTGCTCGATAAAACGGCGAGTCACAACGCTATTGAAGTGTTTTGTGTTCTGGATGGGATGGTGCATAGCAGCTACTACGCATCTCTAGGCACGGTATTGAGTGCCGACAGCAAGCCTAGAAACTGGGATAAAAAAGAAGGTCAGTACAGGTTGATAAGATCGCCTCTACTGAAGAACTTCCGGCAGGCGTGCTACTCTCCCGAGCAGAGCGGTTGCGACAGCCTAGTACTTGACACATTCCGACATAAGAGGCGTGTAGATGACGAGACACTCAAAAAGAAAAGGAAAAAATAAACGCCTTGATGCTCATGCAGCTGTCTTTTGTGTGCAGTTGTCTACGAAGCTTGGCGGCGTTACACACCCAGCAGCTGCTGTGGAAACAGCCTACTTGCGATGTCTGGGCAGGAGGTACGTAGGGGCTCTAGGCATGTAAGGATGTGTGCTGAATCGGACGAGGGAAGTAGAGTGGCATTTCTGAAAGTTATTATGCAGAAAACTTAAGTAATGTTCGTGTTTTGGAAGCGAACAACGCTTTGCGATAGGTAGCGAAGGCCTCGAAATAATAAACGATGTCTACTCATGGAAGATTGTGACGGCGTAGTAGAACCATGATAATAATGTAAGAGGAAGAGCAAGAATAAGGTGAAGTGGACTTGGCAGGCATTCTTAATTTATGAATTCAGTAAGAGTCCCATCATAACTGTACGAAGTAGAAATCAGGAGGCTCAAGACGAAGGTTCAACTAAGACTGTAGGCGGTGCAGCGAGCCGTGGAGAGAAAATTGGTAGGTGTAACTCTAAGGGATAATAAGGGAGCAGTGCGGGACAGGGTAGAAGCCGGTATGAAAGAAATCTTAGTCGAAATTAACAAGAAGACATAGACGCTGCATATTGCACATAGGCAAAGTAACGAAGTCACTATGAGTAATGATTCTAAGAATGCAAGGATGCAATCGCGCGAAAGAGAGGCAGTAAAGTTGGTGGCTAGATGAAATCTAAAGTTGGCGCGAATAACTTGCCCGCAGTAACCACAGGTTCATGTTTGTTGGCGAAAAATTTATGTCTTTTGTATTTCAGAGGGCAAAGTTGGGCTGATGAGGATGATCCATTGTGGTTAGTCGTGTGACCTCGTTGTTTTTGTTTGGTGTATAACAGTCTGATTTCATAAGCTAGTTGGACCAATGCACAATAGTAAAAACATGTAAGGAAGTGCACTTTGTTTGTGCTTCCGTTATTATAAAGGATAATCACAACGTGGCTGTCTTATGCAGATCTGCTATGCGTGAATCTTGCGCTGTTGTTTTCCCGCTTTCGCAAGCAAAATTATCTGTGGTTTGCCTGATGCCCCGATTTTTCCGTCATTCACAGACCGATGGTAGTCAAAAGAGACGCGTAGTTTGCCAACATTCATGATTTAGCTAGCTGTAACTAGTCATTTAGGGCAGTCATAGTCATTATAAGACTTGTCAGAATTCGCGTGCACAAGCAAACAAACTATAATTAACCACCAGCTAGCATTACTACAGACAAAAGCATCGAGCAACATCCAGCAGTCGTGGTCACTCTGACATCATATGTGAATATGTGATGCGTTTACTCAATACGAGCTACAGTTGGCAAGTACTAACCACCATTGCACCTGAAAACTAGCTAATATTAAAAGTTGGAGACTACACCAGTCACCACTTACGAACACAAGCCAAAGATTGGCTACGGAAAGCCAACAATCGCTAGCGCTAGCCTGCACCAGGTAGTGACATTCAACAGTTCGCCATCACAATGCATCATCAGACAGCACAAGTGGAATTGCGCAGAAGTGCAGTGGTTTATTTAAGACGAGTAAACTTGATACATGCCATCTGATATCAATGAAGTCTTGTCATTGACATTGCTTTACGTATACCAGAATATCCTAGCTAGCTAACGCGATGAATGAAACAATGTTTTTAGGCTTTGCGGTGTTAGTTTTATTCCAGGTATTCTTGGAAAAATCACTCTAGAAATAGACAAAATTAATCATTCAAATATAGACGTGGGAGTGTGAAGGTAGTAAGACCAGGCACAACGTTCGAAAAGATTAAAACAGCTATTACCTTTTCCATCGTTTGCCTTCTGCTGCTATCTAAGCTAGATATTGGGATGCAAATAATTCCTACTTCTGGTTTACTTGCAGCACTGTCCTTTGCGTATAAATGTCTCAGAAGAACGCATCACAGGAAACATTGTACCAAATCAGCCATGCATGTAAAGCAGCAGAAACTTGTTGGCCTTACAGTACAAAATTTAAGTTTGTTTCTTGCAAAAGCGCGTAGCATACCACTATTAACAAAGGGGAGACAACAAGAGCGAACGTAATGCGTGAGCTCGACCTTGGCTGAGTTAAGTTCATGGCTGAGTGAAGCGACTCATGCCAAGGGTGACGCCGTTGCGCAGGCCTCCGGGTGATTTCCATTACCTGGAGTTCTTTAAGGAGCGCTAAGTTGGCACAGCATACAGACCTCTAGAATTTGGGCCGCATGTGTGGGATTTAACGTCCCAAAAGCACCATATGATTATGAGACACGCCGTAGTGGAGGGCTTCGGAAGTTTCGACCACCTGGGGTTCTTTAACGTGCACTCAAATCTGAGCACACGGGCCTACAACATTTCCGCCTCTATTGGAAATGCAGCCGCCACAGCCGGAATTCGATCCCGTGACCTGCGGGTCAGCAGCTGAGTACCGTAGGCACTAGACCACCGCGGCGGGGCCTGGGCCGCATGTAAGGGATCGAAGCTGCATCTTCCGCGTTCACAGGTGATGAACCTGAGCTCTGAGCAAGAGCGGCTGTGAGCTCAATAAAACGTGGTCAGAAGCTATCTGCGGTGCCAGGTTGGCTAGATATTACTTAAGAGGTACCAGTTTCAAACGTGCGCTTTAAAGTGCTGCGGATGGTTTGATTTAACTATTACGGTTATTCATTATGGTGAAGTAGCGCACGACAAAAAGGACAAGAAGGGCAAGACATTCCCTACGATCGGTGCGATTTGTTACATGCCCACAGATTATTTCAAACAACATTCTGACAGCATTCATAGCAGCGCAACTGACACTGTGTTACTCAAATTTTATCTGGGAATAGATATAGGAATGAACAAAAAAGGTAGCCAATAACCAGAAGCCCTATCGAACTGAGAGCCGGGCTCTTTTAGTGCATACTGCAGATATGTTCAATAAAATACTTCACGGTTTTCAATTGTATAAGGCGGTGAATATTATATTACTGATATGTTATATTTCGCTCTAGACTTTAGGCAATCAAACCATTGTTTTAATACTCGCACTGACAATGCATTACGGACTTGTCATCAAAATAAAGACAATAAAAATGATGTATTTAAACTAATTCATTAATTCAAGTCTCGATATGTTTTTTTTTCAGTAGACCGAAACAGAATTTTAATGAAGTCAGACGGTAAAAGGCTGAAACGAATTGCTTATAAAAATTTGAGTATGAAAGTAGAGGTTGGGTAACTTTGTGAACCGAATAGCTTAAAACGTGAATGCGCGTTTTTGTGCACAGCATTCCTGCACATTAAAATATTGTAACGGGAGAGAAGAGACGCCATTATATCTAGCAGCTGCAGCCTGAGCGGTTATTCAGTGACCAAACGGTGACAGCCCTTCGTCCTCTTCGTCAGGAGCACACCCGCATACATTCAAAAAATGGTAATATGCATGTAGCATAGTCCCTGGTGGTAGAAGCACTGTATTGCCGTATCTAGATGTCAACGTCACTGGAAGAGCGGTATGGCTTCAAGCGTGCCACATGTATGATATCGCTGGCTTGTGGGGTAGATGAAGGTCACGAGGCAGCACAGGCAATTTCGTATGTCACAGTATAACCACACAAAGAACTCGGTATGAACCTGCGTAGCCAGAAAGTAGATTTTCCGCCAAACCTATTTGACGGTTCGGGGACCACAGCAGGACTGAAGAACCGGGGAAGAGTGCATGTATCGATGCTGTGGATCGTGCAAACGCCGTTGGTTCTCTTGAGAGGCCAGATGGTGAGTAGGGGTGATTTCGTGCACATGGGCAGTGCGAGTGATCGCGTCAAGGGCATAATCACAGGTCGGTGCTGCGGGAGACGGGGTGGCAGCATCAAGTAGTAACGTAGGTTCTCAGCCAAACAACAGAAAAATTTGAGTAAGTAGCAGTGTCATGGTGGGAAAAATTGTATGGAAATGTGGCGTATGGTAATGCAAGGTCCTATTGACAGTGGTTGGGAAAAACATACTTCGCAAGCATGTGTTTAAGTGTTCGATTCAGACGCTTCATGGGTCTGTTTGTCTGCGAGTGGTACGACGTCGTGAGCTTGTGCCTAGTTTCACATGGCTGCAAGATATCGGCGATGACCTTCGATAGAAAGGTGCGGCAATACTCTATAGGCAGCTGGCATGGACCTTTATGCTGCAAAATCACGTCGTGTAGGAGGAAGTCGGCGACATCCTTGGCGCAGCTTGTTGGAAAAGTTTGTGTGACGGAGAAGCGCGTGGCGTAGTCTGCGCGCACAGCGCAGACTACGCCACGCGCTTCAGTTGCCAGAGGATAGATAGATAGATATGTGGGGTTTAACGTCGCAAAACCACTATATGATTATGAAATACGCCGTAGTGGAGGGCTCCGGAAATAATGACCACCTGGGGTTTTTTAACGTGCACCCAAATCTGAGCACACGGGCCTACAACATTTCCGCCTCCATCGGAAATGCAGCCGCCACAGCCGGAATTCGAACCCGTGACCTGCGGGTCAGCAGCCGAGTACCTTAGCCACTAGACCACCGCGGCGGGGCAACGTTGCCAGAGGAAGAGAAGGGAAAGGGGCCAAGTAGGTCTGAGCCAACACGGAAGAATGGTTCTGACGAAATGTCAAGCGGTTGAAGGTGGGAAACGTCGACAGTTTTTTGCGGCACTGAAAATTATCACAAGCCGCAGCGCGTATTTTGACTCAGCTTAAAGCCCTGGCCAAAGCAAAGGAAGCGTCAATGAATCCAGTTGTAAGTGCGAGACACACCAAGGTGTACAGCAGTTAGAAGATTATAAATTTCGTGCCGAACTGCCGAGCGAAGGTGTGTCGGAATGACAAGCAGCAGGGCTTAACCGTCTGGGAAAAATATAGGCGATAAATAACACCATCGGGAAGGACGAGTGAGAGATGGGACCGGTTTGAAGGCGGTGATTCGAGGCGTTCGATGATAGCACTAAAAGACACGTGACCGCGGTTCTTGTCACCGATGGGAGTCAGTTGCGAAATGGAACAGACGAAAGTGTAGGGGACGGTGTCGGAAATATGCTCGATTCATTGACGTGATAGCGAAACAAACAGTCCGCGTCCTGAGGTAGGCGTCCCAACTTGTACGTCATAGAGCC